ATTAATCTGATAATGATGCATTCATAAACTGAGGCATGTATAACTGAATACTGAAATATCTGACCTAGCATGTGTAATTCAAGAACTAAAGAAATACATAGCTAGGGTTCTGAAATTCATGCGATAAACTGAGCAATAACATGATAATCTGATTTGGAACATTTAAACAACTAATTCATGATGATCTGCTATAATTCTAGAAACCCTAGGTCTGTTCATAATCATGGAATCAAGAATCTGACTGAATTTTAGGGACCTAATGGGCGAAAGGAACCCACTAGTGAAATCCCACATACCTGGTGACGAATTCCACGGAGAAATCTTTCGATTTCAGGGCTGGAACTGAAGGAAACTTGCTGTGTTCTTGAACTAGGATTCTTGACTTCTTTTCTCCTTTTAGCGTTCTAATTCTTCTAAGTTTGATTAATGATTTGACTTAGGTAAGTTCTAGTTATGTTTCTAGGCTTAAACTAATTAAAACCTCATGATTTAGGGTCTAAACGACGTATCTGAGGGGTTAAACGAAATAGGAAAAGACCAAAGGACCCCTGAATTAACTTCTGTCGGAGTGATCTACGGATTGGACCTACGGGCGTAGGTCAATCTACGGTCCGTAGATTGCGTCCGTAAGTCAAGCCTGCTCGACAGGCCTTCACTAAAATGAGCATAACTTTTTACTCGGAGGTCGGAATTTAGCAAACTCGGTGGCGTTGGAAAGATAATTAAATTATCTATCTAACCATAGGTAAAGGGTCACATAATTCATCTTGTGCTAAAAGTTATGACCATCTGAAGTTGACCCATTAGAATTTTCAGCTAACTGGCTGCTAATCTTCGATCTACGGTCAGACCTACGGACCGTGGATCGAATGACGGTCCGTACTGGTCAACCGTAGTTCGGGACTGAAGCTGGGCTTTTGGGGCATCGATCCACGGACACGAACTACGGTCCGTGACCTGACTTACGGACCGTGAGTCCGGCCGTGGGTCAACACTTAGCCAAATTTTCTAACTGAGTTCTGAGAAAGTTTTCTGTCACGAACCACGGACCTGCAGGACGGACCGTAAGTCTATCTACGGTCCGTGGATGGTGTCCGTGAGTGCCACCTGTAACACCAGAAATCTGAAATCTCTATTTTCGAATACGGAGTGTTACAATATGTGTCTGGTACATCATCTCCACCACCACCCAAAAGGAGAAAGAAAATTGATACACCTAAAACAAAGGTGTTGGAACCTGAATTGCCAGAGCAGTTAAGGCCGCCATTAAACAAGTCATTTTCAATGCCGGATGAAGCACCTACCCCACCTGCTAATGCATCTTTTGCCCATGTCTCTTCACAAGTCCAAAAAGATAAGTCTGTATATCCCGATATTGAAGAACTGAAACAACTTATGAAGGAATACGTAAGTAATAGTATTAATTTATATTTATTTGCTTATTCATAAATACAAAACTGAATTATAATTTTTTTTGAATAGGTTGACAGTAAATTTGAGTATCTTGTGAATTTGATAAAGGCAAACCACTCTGAGATGATGAATTCTAGGAATAGGGAGGACGACAACCAACCATAGGTATTGTATTGTATATCTGTTTTGTTTGTGTGTTTTAACTTTCATAGCTCATTTTGTTAAAAAAATAATTCTTGAAGGATTTGGGCGGCAAGTCTACGCCGTGCATTGTTGAAGTATCCGGTAAAGAAGTCAATGATGGACATCAAACAAGTACCTGCAAGTTTGATCAACAACCAACCTCACCGATACAGATGGATTTTGCCATTAATGACCAAGATATTGGTGTATCTGATTTTGATGTTGAAGATCAGGTTTATTTTTACTTTATTCATTGCGGATATTTAATTAAACAAGTTATCAGTAACATAGTTTGTTTGAAAAAAACTTGTTTAAAAAAATACAGACTGAAGATACATTGAAGAATCATCAAGAAATGAAGGAAGTTTCAGAACTTCAATCATTAGATGCAAATGTTCATCATACTGCAGAAACAACTGAGCATAAGAAGGTACTATTGTCATCATAAATTGACTATTAGTATACATCAACTTTGTAGTGATACATCAAAATGTGCCATTATAATACATTGCAGTTTTCTTGTGTGATTATGATACATCCAATTTTTGTGTGTATGATACTTTACATTTTTAATTATATGTGTATATGATACATTCCATTACAAGGTACATACAAGTGTGATTATGATACATTGCTGTTTATTTGTGTGATTTGTATACATCAAATTTTTGTGTATATGATACCTTACATTTTTAATTATATGTGTATATGATACATTCCATTGCAAGATACATATCAGTGTGTCTAAATAAAATTGATTGTCTACTATATGTAATCTGTCTAGATAATTATATGTGTATCATTTATATATCATATGGTTTATCAAATCTTATTTAATTATCAATTTGAATCATATAGGATTCTACAACATCTGGTACAATATCATCTGAAACTCGAGAAGGCATGCATACACTTATTGCTGATCTAGGAAGATTGCCTATTCCTGTTAAACCAGTTAGTGCAGCAAATCCACAGGAGTTAACCAATAGCCAAATTTTACTTTCGGACAGTCAATTACCCACTGATATTCCAATCACAGAGATTGTTGTCCGACGTAATACAAATACTCCTCTTGCACGTATCAGGATGCCTTTAAAAATCTGCAAATCTCCTTATTTGACTTCATTTGGGTCAAGTGAAAAAGAAAAAGAGGTCACGGAGGATGTAATCCGTCCAAATTTTCCATTTGAAGGTTGTGAGATCACAAATCAATCCCCGTCATAACTGATTGATGAGTTTATTCAGTGGGTTACTACAGGTCTTCTCAAAACACATGCCAAAAAGTAAGTTTTATACTTTTTACTACATTTGTTCAATTTTGAAATTACAAATCTTGTTGCACTTTTAAATAACATCTTTTCTTTACACTTTATAAAACAGGAAACCAACAGAGGATAAGTACAGAGCAAAAGCCTTTTCTTTAGGTTTTGAAATGATGGATTATGTTGTTTGCATATCCGTCCAATAAAAATTGGTTCTATGCCATGTCTCAGCCCAAAAACTGCTGGACTGATCAGGTAAATATGACATGTATATGTAAATTTCATGTTTATGCTACATTAAATTGAAATGTATCATATTTAGTTATCTTGATGTATATGATACATTCATTTAATAGGTGTTATATACATATTAATTCAGTATCTAACTTTTTATTTTCATGTTTTTCTTTTTAAATGTATACTTATGTTTATAATGTTTTGTGTAGCACATGGATGTTGTTTTTTACTATCTTCGTAAAAAATCAAAACTTCGCAGCATGAATTAATATAGATACACAATAGTCAATTGTTTGTTCAGTTCAAATATCAAAAATACCCATGAAAGGTATTATAACAATGTGGTTGATGATGATACTAGTACCCAAGAACACATTGATCGTGTTGTAGCTGTATATGTACATGAGGGGTCAATAACCAACGTCATGAAAGGATTTTCAATACCAGCTGCATTACCATGGCATCTTGTGGACGATGTTTACATTCCGGTTAATTGTGATGGAAAGTTCCATTGGGTGTTAGCTGTTGTTGAATTGAATCGGAGGTTGATACGCGTGTATAACTCTTCTATAGGTACAAGAAAACAACAACATTATGAGGAGATAAAAAGTTGTCAAGGATGCTACCTTCTTACCTCCTTGACAGTGGTTTCTTTGAAAAAAATGAGTGGACAATCTGGCCAGAACTTGATGCATATAAGGACAAACAAACTGGTACACTTTTGGAGTCACATGTTCCTTTCAATATTGAATACGTTCAAGACATCATGCAACAAGAAAAGGATAGCATGTAAGTATTTAAATTATTGACTACAATCATATGTGTAAGTTTTTTTTACAAATTTTTATTCTGCATTTTGTTGTAGGGACTGCGAGTTATATGTAGCTATATTTGCAGAGTTTTTGAGTGACCAACTTGTTATACCACCTGATATTGATGGCCATCTACCAAATTATCTTTACAATAGATATGCAGCATTGTTGTGGATATACGGCAGCGACAAGTTCAAGGGTGGATATATAAGTGAGAATGACGATCCACCAAAGCCTAAGAGTCAATTCACAACACCAACTGAACAAGATTTTGTTAACATAGATTAGCACTTAATAGGGATTGCATGAACAACTTTTCATGTTGTTTTGTTTTGAAGACAAATTCACTTTTTTTATGTGTTTCTCTAAAAACTTAGTACAGTATTTTGTTATTTATTAAAATTGTGTTTTCACTATATTGCTTTAGATTAATTTGTTGCTTTATAACGTTAAGCCCCACAATCATCACTGTTTGACTTTAAGTAGTCTGATAGTTTACTGACAAAATGATATATATGATGCATAAGTCGTAATGTATATTATGCATGAATGTTATTCACATATACCAAGTACATTTATGTATAAGCCACTTAAATTATACGAATGTATATGATACATTATGTATATCTACAAAAACATAACACAACAAACTTTTAAATTGAACTTCAACACTGCTAAGGTAAAATATATCAAAATTATAAATGTATCAAATACAATTTTAAGAGTTTTAATGTGTGCTTCATTAATAGTCTTCAGTGTATATGATACAACATAATGTGGTGTATATGATACATACAAAACACGTTTGCAAAAGTAAATTTTGGGACACTTAATTTTGTTTAAAACATTATCATGGTATTGAATCAATATTTTATTCATTTACACAATAATTATGTTTCGCAATTTATACATTAAGAATAAGAATAATTTTATATTTAATATAAGATTGGCACATTGTTATGAACTAATGCATTTAGTTGAACAACAAAATAAATTGTTTAACAATACACTTTATTTAATCCAACTACTAAAAGCGAAAAATACATATAATCGAAGAAAGAAAAACACAAATATCCTATTTTAAAACATTATTTCAATTCTCTTTCGGGAAGAAAGTACAAGTCCTCATGTTGTGACCTTCTTGTCCACATTGCCCACAAGAATTCTTGTTCACTGTTATCTTCTCATCCGCGTTTTTCTTTCTTCGATTCCTTGGTCGTCCAGCCAACCTTCTGTACCTAGGTGGCAAGACAATTTCATCTAAAACATAGTCTGGAACGGTCCAATCCTCCTTATCTGGCATTGGAACCATTGCAACCTCGTAGGTTTTTTCTAATGCATCCGGCTTGTAGTAATCAGAGCAATATGGATACATATCTATAACATTCTTGTGCTTCAAAACTGCAATTGCGTGTTCGCAAGGTATCTCATCATATTGAAATCTTCCACACGCACATATTTTCCGCTCAAGGCATACAATGTATCTTCTTCCGGCTTGATAAACTGAAAAAATATACTCAGACAATGGGACAACCTGAAAATAATTAGAAGTTATTGATACATTACAGAATATGACATTTACATATCATTTCTCAAAAAAAGGGATATGAAGGATACATTCAATTTTTGTGTGTATGATACATTACATAATATGACATTTACATATCATTTCTCAAAAAAAGGGATATGAAGGATACATCCAATTTTTGTGTGTATGATACTTTACTTTAGGATACAATGCAAATCAGAGCTGCTGATACATCAAACAGAAATATAGGGATATTGATAAATACCTTCATGTTTGAACTTTTAGATGCGTTTACAATCAATACCTCCTCAAATCTTCGGCCCAATGTGTCATTTGTATATGACGCTATTTCTCTATTTTTATAGTTCCAACTACCAAATAGAAGTCTAGCTTCCTCCAAGAAGTCTATTATAGTTAACCGACGTGCATCAACAAGGCAACCATTGATACACTCTGCGATGTTTGAAGTCATCATTCTACCTCTGTTTACTATTGAATGAACTCTTGACCACTTCTCATACCCAGCATCCTCAAGGTAATCCTTTACCCTATGATCAACTTTCACCACCTTAGCCATTAATTTATCAAAATCTTCTTTTCTGTATGCCTTTGCCATTGAGTAAAATATATCACTTAGTGTGTTTTTACTCATTTTGAAGTTTGAACATACATTCTTCCAAAGATGCTATATGCATGCACAATGAGGTACATTTGGGAACACAATGCTTACACTCTTCATAATACTTTCATTTCTATCTGATACAATACACATGTTTTCACGCTCGCCAAATGCATTTTTGAATTGTTCGAAGAACCATGTCCACGAACAGTCTTTTTCAGTGTCTACAACACCATATGCCAACGGAAATATGCAACCTATTTACAAAGCAACACACATTTAACTATATTATACATAACTCTTACACTAAGATACATTGATTATACACTGAAAACAAAGTTCAAAATTATGTCAGTATTACAAAAGTCATACCTGCACCATCGAGTGTGCTCGCTGATACAAAAGTACCTTTGTACGCCCCGCCAAGATGTGCAGCATCCACTACAACTACTGGTCTGCAATAGTCAAACCTTCTTATCAATGGCCGTAGTGCTATGAAAAGATACATGAATTGATTATTTTCCGTCTTTTGCATCCTTATATATGAATTTGGATACACATTATTTAGCATCCATATGTATCTTGGCATCTGCTTATATCCTTCTGATGGTTTACCCTTTAGCATTTCCAGTGCACGTTCCTTAGCACGCCATGCTTGCTGGTATGATATTTCAACCCCATATATTGCTCGAATATCTTCAATTACATCTTGCAGCGTATGAATTCGTTTATGATTAAACAACTTGGGGGCAGTCACACCACTAATAAATCCAACTGTTGCTTGTACTTTTGTAAGTATCCTATCCCGCATCGGACACATATGTTCATTGTTAAAGTACCTCACTTTGAATACATCAGATTTCTTTCTGCACGAAGACCTTAAAGTCCACCCACATTCATCACTAAAGCAAACTAACACATAGTTGTACACATTTTTTCATTAGATTAAGTCACATAACAAAAACACTGTCAAAGTTTTCCACAAATAATGTAACTGTAATAATAAAGAACACAACAATCATAATACTTACTATTTTGTTTAAATCATCAAACACCAACGAAGTTATCAATACAATAGAAACTAGAATTATACTAATTATATGCATAAACCGAAGAAAAACAAATCAAATTAGAGCTAAAACAGTCCAATACCTTTTTTTATCCGATCTTTTCACTTTGAAATTGAAGTTGTTCTTTATTTTATATTTCGCCATTACAACGATGAGTGTTCCTTTATCCTTATACAACTGGCCTGTCTTCACATCCGTACTATTGGAATCAGTTATGTAATTTGTAGCATTCAATTCTGGAATATAATCTAAATCACAAATTCTCGATTCGACCAGAGCAAGAGCTTCAGTATCTCTTTTTGTACCTTCCACGCATATGATTTCACCGGATGAACAATCAAAGTTATGTATCTCCCCAACCATTTTCTCAGTTGTATCAATACATAACGGATACATGCCGATTCCAGGCTCATTTCTTCTTACTTCCAAATAAAGTTTCACACCCATGTCGTTCCTGATTTTCAATGGACATGTGTTTCCGTCTACGATGTATCGAATTTCAACATCTTTTCTAACACCGTCGATCTCCAACTTTGCTAAAATCAACGCTTTAAGATTCATAAATGAAATTGATTCTCCAACGACAATTCCATCAACCTTGTAACTTTCGTAATTAATATCGCTTAACCAAATTCCAGAATGTCGTAATAAAATTGTGATATTCATCGTCTAAAGCTGTTTTTTTCAAGTTCTTAGAATGTAGATCCACTTTATCATGATAAATTTGGTAAGCTGAAGGAGCTCTGATTTGAAATTTGAATTTATCAATTAGTTACGTAATTGAATTGAAGATTTACAATCTTTCAGCGTGAATTATGGCATTTATAGTTATTAAATAAAATCTACGTTATTGTTTCCTTCTAAAACGCAACAGCTATTAACTAGAATGTATCAACCCTTATGTATCCCGTGCACAACGCTATGTATCCCACAATTAACATTTTTAAGGGATTTTTGGTAAATATAAAACTAGAAGGGATAGCATGTTATTTAGTAGTTATAATATGTGGTTTCTATAATTTATACTTATAAAAATACTATTGGGTTATTGGTTAGGTTTTTTCTATTGGGTAAACCGATAATCCAATAAGACGGTAATATTTACTACTATATCCTTCCTAAATATTAAATATTAATAATTTAATATATAACTAGACACTATAACTATAACTATATCAAATTATCAGTACTCTATCCACTTCACACTAGGCCACCTGTTTACTCAAAACCTAAAGACTAAGAGGGTTCACAATTGTAGCTAGTTGATTTTAGTTTTAGTTTTAGTCTTGTTAGACTATTTGATTTTAGTTTTATTTTTAGTTTGTAACTGTATGCTAGTTGTTCATATTTGAGTTGACACATCCATCTATTTTTACTTGTCCATATTTGAGTTGACACATCCTTAAGAAGTAATTAATAAAATGATAAGTTTACTATATCAATTTTTGAATAGAAAAGCGAACAACCTAAATTGTCAAGCTTTCCCTCTCCTCAATGTCTCAAAATGCTCAAAGCCTGATCCCAACAAAGTATAAGGTTATTTTGATATCCTATTCACTCAAATGAAGGTCTTGAATATTCAAACTTACCTAATTCTAACTTTTTGGAAGGTCTAACGAATAATTAATAGGTTATTATATCAAACCCGAGGTTTTCATGATCAACTCACTCTCATTCACATAGTTTTACCCCTATTAACCTCTCTTGAGCAGTTCATATGCTCAATAAGTCATTTTTATAAAGTTTCTAGATTCCTGATGTGAGGCAAAAAATATATATTTTAATCATTATTTACCTCACATTTACAATTTATACCTGTTTTATTTTAGCATGAATTTTATAGATTGTGCTAAATGGTGTATTTTATTTGTAGGAGTAAATTGGTGTAAAGTTAAAAAAGTTTGGAGTTAAAACGAATTAAAAATGTGGAAGGTTGAAGAAGGATATCAAGCAGATAGCATAATGAATTAAATTTTATAAAATAATATACGCTGGAATCAAAAGTTGCAGTTTCAATATGATCAAATGCCACGTGTCAACCACGAAGGCAATATTCCATGGAAGTCGGCTACAGCAAACGGTTTTCACGCGGAATCCAATTATGTTAAGGTTTTTGGGTTCCTAATTTATTTTGGACTCAATTACTACTTGGATTTTCTACATCTATAAATAATTCATGAAAATAATTATTAGAGAGATCAAAATATAGTAGATCAATTAGGAGGAGATCAATCATAGGGCATCAAAGTATAAAGTTGTAAATACTTTTTAGGGTTCTTTTCTTTTCTTTTTTTCTTAGATATTAGTGGTTAAACGCCCTTGTTCTGGGGCTGTAGCTACGGATTAATTGTTGAATATTAAAGGTTTTTGAATTAATTCTTGGTTATCGTTTAAGTTACTTTTATATTCTTGTTTTATATTTTTTGACTGGTCATCTAGAGATAAATATATTGTCTATTCTTAAAATCTAGAGAGGAAAGGGTAGATAGACCAGAGAATATAGAAAGTTCGATCTTCCATTGAGTTGATGTATGTTCAAGAGTGACGCCCGGACGAACAACTTGCTTGGTTACGAAACATGATGAAATATAAATGCTCGCCACTTAGGCCTGCTATCCCCGCTCAACGATGTAGTTAGACAGCTAACTGGAGTAGGCGACTAGAGGTCGAGAGACCCGACTCATACAATTAACCCTATAAATCAGTAACTTGATAACCAAAATTAGTTTATTGCCTGATATACGATACATGAAATCCGATATATGTTGTAGCCCTGGAATTATCCCAATCACTATAAGTAATATTATTATTTCATTCTTGCATTCTTTTCCTTACAAATAAAATCAAGCACTTTTGACACTCTTAAATAAATAATTAGACTAGTATAATTTAGTAAATAGTTAATCGACAAGTCCTTTGAGTTTGATAATTCAGTTCTTTTAAGAGCCATTATATTACTTGTGCGACCATGTACACTTGTGTGTGCAATTGGGAGCAACAAATTTTTGACGCCGCTACCGGGGCCCTAGAAATTAACTATTCTTCTAGGTTATACTTTTTTTTTTTAAGTTAGTTTTTTTTCCTGACCAATTAATTATTATTATTATTATTCTTTCTTTGAATAATTTGGTACTCTTATTGATATGGATGATAGGAATAAATCGTGGTTGGGTGATGAATGCCATTTATGTGGTCGTCAATATATTCATTGGAATGGTTGTCCTAAATCTTATTCCCTTCCCCCGAACCCCTATTATGATCCTTCTGTTATTTGTGATGTTGGTAGGGGCTATGAAGCGGAGAACGCAAAACAAGAGGCACGTAATGTGAATTCATTTATGGAATGTACGGACATGTTGGACAAAGTTAATTCAAAATTCACAGAACAAATATTTGAATGCACGGAAGAGCACAAAAAAATCTTGAAACCGTTGGATAAGCTTGACGCTATTCAATTAGAAATTACAGTCCCTGAATTAGAAGAGATTGAAGCCCAACAAAGAGAAAGTTATGGAGAAACGGAGATAGTGAGTCAATTTTCGATACAAGGACAAACTCAACTTCTAAAGTTAGAAGAGTCTATCCGTGATGGTCTCACATACATGACAACCCAACTAATTGAAGGAAGAGTTGAGCTCACACAAGAAATAGATCAATTTGGCTCAAATATTCATGACTTGGAGTCTGACTTGAACAAAACGATTAAGGCGTCTGAAGCCCAATTACCAATTGTCGTGGATGATGACCAACTAGTGGAGAAAAAAGAGGAATTCCAACCATTCAACTATACCTTATTCTTTAATATCGATGTTGAGAAAGAGTAAAAAAGTGAGAATGTTGTAAAAAATGGTGCTTTGGAGTTAAGGCAACTTGAATCTCATTTAAAACACTTTTCTATAAAATCTAAACTAATGGATGAGTGTATAGATGAGGTACAAGGCCACTACATCTTAAAGTTTTTTAGTCCACGTAGACAAAACGACATTCCTCACCTAAGGGTCAAGAAGTGCAAGATGCGACATATATTACTTGGTTCCTTTATGTTTATACCACCTCCCCTTGAGAGGAGCAGAAAAATAGATGCAAAGTTAGGGGTACAATTCATAAGTTCAAAGTGGAAAGAAAAGTAGTGAATTTACTTGTGTCGTGCTGCGACGTTAAATTAGACACTTATTGGGAGGCAACTCAATTTATAGTGTAATTTCTTATTTTTTTTGTGTTGTTTTTACAGGTTTTGGAGAAGTCTGAGTATCCGAAATTTGAAGCTAAAGAGCACGTTTGAGCTTAAGTGTGGGGTGACGACCCTCGATGAAAATTAAGAGATCATGCTACTAGATAGGCCTAAAGGCATCAGGGAGTTTTTCTAACCCTTGTTTTAAATTTTACTTGATGCTTTGGGGATATAGCACCTTTTTAAGTATGGGGTGGAGGAATGAATTCCTAGTTTTTACTGTTTTATTGAGTCTTTTCTTTTTAGGATGGGTTCCTTAGCTTTTGTTTTCGGTTCTTTTCCTGAGGATAGTCCTTTTGAACCGAGTGTCTTTTATTTTTCTTAGGAATAATTTTTCTTTTAATTTTTTTTTTGAGAGAAAAGAAAAAACTCCTTTGAGTGGTGTGATACTTGTTATTTAGGTCTAATTTTTTAGTAGTACTTTCTTGTGAATGCTTGATTGATAAGGAAATTGCAGACTCTTTGACACCTAAGCTCATGGTTGTGACTTTATTTATAGCTTATTTTATTTTGTAGTTTGTTATGATCTTGTCTCTCTTAGAAGTGGAATTGATCTATCTTGATTGATATTTGTGTCATGTGTGGTGAGAATTTGTTTATTCCATATTTTGCATCTTAGTCTAGAACTTGCCCTACATGTTATTGAAGCGAAATAAAAAATGTTACTTTGTTTAGGAGATGATAATAGGTTTTCTTTGATTTGTCTGGTAAATTTTAGTCTTTTAAGATATTATATCACTACTTATCCCTTTTGAGCTTGTACCCTTTTGTTGGTAGCCATATTTTTCCCTTAACTCTTTTGTTCAATCCCTAATTTTTGCTCCTTGCTTCTTTGAGCATTATAGCATAGACTTATTCTAATTGTTAATTCTGAAGAAAAAAAGATGATTGAGTGAAAAGGTAATCAATGATAGCTACAAAGGGCTTAAAAGATCCTCTTTGAAAGAATGTGACATGAAGGGGGAAAAAAAGAACAAAAGAATGTGACATGAAAAAAAATTTGATTGAAGCATTCTTGATATGATGAGAATTACTTGTGAAATAATTGTTGAAGAAAGGGCTGAAAATAAAGAGAAGACAATAATGGGTGATGAAGTCTAAAATTGCAAAGTGCTTAATAAAGTGTAAGTCATTATTATATAATTTTCCTAACCTGTCCCCTAGCCTACATTACAACCCGTTAAAATCCTATTTGATTCTATTCAAGCATGCTTAATTAGTAGAATTGTACATAATGGACAAGCATATAGTTCTTTGCGCATACATGTGAATTTTCTTTGTGAGTGTGAGAGTTGTTCTTGATATGAAGTCCTTAATTTATATTCAATCTTTTTAATTGAGTGTGTGGACTATTTCTTCTTGTGAAGACACTTGTTTCGTGATGGATAGATGATTTTATTAACTGTCTTTGATAAAAGTAGGGAAGCAAACTTAA